CCCCCACACACACACAGTGACACGTGTGCTGGCCACCAGTCCGGCTCTGACTCTCACTTGATCTAACACTACAGACGTGCACGTGCCAACAACACGTGTGTTGGGACGAAAGAATGCCACTGATTGGTCGCTTAAGATCATACAAACGATGGTTCACATTGCCGGTGCTATGAATGGTTTCCAGGAAAGGATAAGGTATGCTGCGGGAGAAAAATGAGAGAGGCCACGTCAGCGGGAGGATATTCCCCCTGCAAGAGACTTCGTTGAATCCGAGCCTGTTCATTTATGTGTTTGTTGAATCCGAGTTATTTTTACTGATTTTATTTAATTTTCTAAAATGGGGAAATCCATTTCCTTTCGTTGAATCCGAGCCTGTTGAATTCGAGTTCCACTGTTAAACCTGAACATTAAGTCAACTAAAACCTGTCAAAACAAAATCACTAAATGCGAAATGAAATGTCTCCACAATACCCTTAAAATCACAAAAAGAGACTGGCAGAGATCGAAATGAAGAAGCAAGAGTAACTATTTAAACCATTAGCACAGAGTCCAGCCTGCATTTCGCAGACAGATCAGAGAATAAAATAGTTTAGCCACCTGAAGCAAATGTCACCTAGGCAACCAGCCTAGGATTTTTGAATATACGCCTGGTTTTCTTAAAGTGTTGGAAGACTAGATTATTTCTCGGTGAAGTAAAAAGTAGGCTTACTGATCATTCTGTGCAGAACATAGAGGTACACGTCTGTCACAGGTATAATTTATTCTCTCTTACAATTCCATTTCAAGAAACAGGACCGCTGTGTACATCACCAACCTCGACCACAGTATTGGAACAGAAAAGTCATAGCCTTGTTAAAAACTCGTAGCCTTCCTTTAAATAACAATCTTTATCGGTGGGAATAATAAAATCCACCCTTCTGTGGGCAGTGTAACTCTCATGAAATTGAAGATGAATTTCACTTTATTTTCTATTGTCCATACTTTGTCCATCAAATCAAATGTTAATTCCTCCTAGCCTGATTCGCCCCAGTGACAGAAATATGCAATGTTGACCCATGATAAGAGATATGTGCCCAACCTGTACTTTTTTTTATTATATGGAAACTTTATTTAACAAATGGGTGCTTTATATGATGTGATATGGACGATTGGTCTTAAACACTGAATAAACTTACTTACAAAGTTACTTACTAGCCAGCCAGCCTCAAGAGCCTAAAAAGACAGCAAATACACAGGCTCTTCACTATGAAGGAAGAGGAAGGCCTCACCAAACTTGGATTGAGGGAGACAAGGGAACCCTGAGAAATTATCACTTCCCAACTGAAAGAGCTGCAGAGTTGGCCTACCACCGTAGAAGATTGCATCTCCCCTTGATGCTTAACGGCAATAGAAGATGAAAAAATGTAAAAAAGTAAGTGGAAGTAATACAAGTCAGTTGTCTTCCCAGAGACCCAGTTTCAACTCACCGGTGTCTGTGATGTAGCATTAGTAAGGCGCTTTGCTCTTAAAAATCTTGCACACAGGAGACATGAGTTCGATTCCGGAGTGGGGAGACAATTTTTATAGAGTACCGTATCTCAGTCCTTCTGCATGCCTGGATTATATTGCACCTCTCTCGACTGGGTTGGTCATTCTAACAGTAACAGGCAGGCAGGATCAGAAGCCCGCCTCCTAAATGATCTAATTTTGCATTAGTTCTTTATACATGAGGCTAAGTTCACTCACTTTCAAGAGACTAGGACCACCTCAAACAGTCGGATTTTCACATCCTGTTGTGGATGGAACGCAAAGAGATATTTTAATCTTGAATGGTTCATTATGAAGGACTCGCTATTCCACCAAAAAGTCACCGGTAAATTGCTCAACATAAAAACTGAAGGACACATTGCATGTAGGCCTACATGTTAAATTATGCACATGGGTGAGTCAGTTTTGTTTTCCTGGTTTCAAATGTGATAATGTCACAAGCAAGATTGTAATACTTTTGAATCTATGAATATTTTCACGTATTGCCTTTTATTGCGTGTTTGGATGTCTTTTCAGTCATTATGCGT